AAAAATTAAATAATTAACCAATTGATAGCAAATAGTGCTCGTTTTCCATTGAATACAAATTCTATTTAGTGCTGGCAAATATAATTATTACCTTCGCATCCTTGCCTAAATAGACAAAGAGCACAAGTTTTATTCGTTATAAAATAAACGGCAATTTGCTAAATATTTATTCGACTCTTTTGTTAAATTGTAAATAAGATGTAAATTTTCGTCATTTTAAGCTACGTATGAATATCCATATCCGATGCATTTTTTACCTCTCGAGCGTTTGTTTATCCACATCGGGCACATCTGCTCTACTAAATTTACGTAACATCAAAACTTTCAGTCTTAGGTATATTATACCTTTCTATACCTATACCTTTCTAAAACACTGAAAGTTTTTACCTACATCTGTATTGAGATCTATATTCTCTTTCATTGTGAACCCCCAATATTTTGGGCATGAGCCGAAACTGTTTTAAACTGTCCCTTGTAATGGACATCTCAGCAAAACTTATCCTTATATATTCTACATAGAGATAATCTAGCTTTTCAATTTGAAGAACAAATAAACTAAAAACAGCATTTGTACACTTTAACGCCCTGTATCTCGAAAACTAGTCATAGTATCGAATTTAAAATTCATAATACTTTTTTTTTCTCCCGGGCTCGTCTGACTATGTCTCCGAATAACACTGAAGCCTATTGGCTTATTGTGTTTTACCCCATATTAGTCCATAGCACCCACTCTGTCACTTTTGTACCTTATACAACTTTGTACAGATCCTTGTGTGAGTGGGTTCTATACGTTGTTGGATCAACCTGGGGTTGTCCAAAAAGAGCCTGTCTTTTGCGATCTAGAGCTTCGCATTCGCACAGTATGTGTTTCGCTGTTTCTGGTTTCTTGTGACATAGTCCGCACATGAGTTCCCCATTGTACATGTCAATTTTGTTCCGGTGTCCCTTTACTGGGGCGTGCCCAGTCATGAACCCTGTTATAACTTTCAACAAGTTCCTATTCATAAAGACTAGTTCTCCAGTTCTTTTGGGACATGGTCTGCCTATGAAGGCTTTTCCATGTGCCTGTTTTGGGGTGCTTCCCCAATAGTTAATATGTTGTTCCGAATCCAGTCGTTTATGAAACCCCGGACTGTACTTTTTGGTACTCCTGGGTTTGTGTCTGGTTCCAGTTTTTCTTCATTGCCTTTGATCCCTTGGTGACCTGGCACCCAAAATAGTTTTACTCTATTTCGGTCTGCCAGTGTTCTTAGTTCTTCAATGCATTCCCATACCAGCCTCGACGTAACTTTCTGACTCGATATGGCCTTAAGTGCCGCTTGGCTGTCTGACATTATTTGAATATGCTGATTTTCGACAGCTCTTTCATTGTTCGTTTTTGCACATTGCAAAATTGCGTATACCTCGGCCTGAAATACCGAGGAATGTATTCCTATAGCACTCTTAAAACGGTGTTAAAATTATTATATACCGATAAAATGGTTACATTTTACATTTTTACTTTTATTAAAATAGAATATTTTCCAATAAATAAGTCGCATTGTATATTTTGAAGCTTAGAGGTACACATATTTTAATGATATTACTTTTCCAAAAATCAATTCATAAGTACAGGGTTTTGAAGTAAACCTAAAAAAAAATAATTTTATTTTTTATGTGTAACTGGGTGATTGGATAAATTATCAATAACAACCCCTGTGTGAGTAGGTTTTCTAAATATATTAAATTCCAACTTAAGATCTTTACAATGGGATATAGTTAAATCAAGGAAGTTGATAGATTTGTTGTTTTCTATCTCTAATGTAAATTTGATGTTACTATGTATGGTGTTTATATAATTTAGGAAGTTATTTAACTTATCCAGATCACCAGTCCATAGTATCAGTATGTCATCAACATATCTATGATAGAATTTAATAGCTGAGCAAAAAGGATTGTTGTTTAATGTATTGTTATTCTTAAAATTATGCATAAAGATGTCTGCAAGTATAGGAGATAAAGGTGAACCCATAGCTAATCCTGTTGTCTGTGTAAAAATTTCATTATTAAAAAGGAAGAAGTTTTGTTCAAGACTAATTGTTAAAAAAAAAAAAAAAAAATTTAACTGTTTGTGCTTGTAAAAACTATTTTGTGTTGTTTAGTTGAAAGTTGTCTTACATGTGTTTTAATTATTAATTTATTCAATCAGACATCTCGCGGTTTAACCTAACCTAAAAATATTTTTAAAAAAAATACTATTGTAGGTATTACATGACTTTTTTAACTCGTTTGTTAAACTTTATGTAGCACTTTATGGAAATAGTCAAGGTGAGTCAAGGTCATTGTTTAATTTTCTTTTGTGTTTTTTCTGTTATTTTATATATGTTAATGTCAGTTTATACTTTTATAATTGTTTTTATTACAACTGACTCCTTGACATTCCATTTAGGTGTGCCTGATGATGAAGTAATAGCTTCGAAACCGGTTGCCAATTAAAATTGACTTGTGAGAAATAAAGGACCTTTTCTTTAACCCCTTATACTTAATCCCTACTACTCACATATGGCTACCCTCACTCCAAATGATGCTATTTAAATTCTCCTAAAAGTTTCGGTTCGGAGGATAAAACAACAGAAAATGTCTCGTCGCAATTCTATTAGGATATTTAATCAAAATATTAGACAATTCTCAAACAGTTCCGACCAATTATTTATTGGTTAAAGCATTAAATAAACTAAAATGAAATTTACGATTTGTTCACGGAAATTTACAGAAGTAGGAAAAATTAACTATACAACTATATTTACGATCGAGTAAAAAATAAATTATTTAACAGTTAGAACCTAAAATAAACTAAAATGAAATTTACGATTTGTCCACGGAAATTTACAGTAGTAGGAAAAATTAACTATACGACTATATTTACGATCTAATGAAAAATAAATTATTTAACAGTTAAAACCTAAAATAAACTAAAATGAAATTCCAAAAGAACGGTGTTTTCTAACAAGAATAAATTAAAATATTTCTTAATCAAAACAAATTTCAATTCTTTACTCAACACGGAATATTGTTAATTAAAAATAAATCAAAATAAATCTGTTTCCAATAGCACGGCTTAAAGTGTCGAGCGAAAAAAGAATATCAATTTATAAAAACAATGACAACAATTTACCTATCGCGGCTAGAAATATATTTCGGTTTTGATTGTCTCTCGCGAGCAATATCGGAATCGTATCGGATTAATTTAATTATTCGCCTATTCAATACAACGGTGTAAAAGCAAGTCTATTAGGAACTAAAAATTTTTAATTCAATCTCAGATCTCGTTCAGTCGTCGAAAACCCTTCCACTACCAGAGACCCCATCAACGGCAGTACTACCGCGCATCGATATGTCGATCGGCGATGCGCATCTGTCTTAGCTCAGGGGCCCTATTCTCGAATGTCTATTAAAAATGTCGCATTCGTCATAATGTCTACTACTAATGTCTATCAAAATGTCGATCGAATGACACTATCCGTATTCTCAAAGACAAATAGACATTTTAAAATCGGTGACATATTTGGCGAATGATAACATCTGACAACATTGGATAGAAACATACAGCAGAAAATTACTTGAAGAATCTCTTAGTAATACAAAATAATACTGAAAGTATATCCAGAATATATATCTGTTTGATAAATACTAATTAGAAAGTAGAGAAAATATAAATATAATCTTTTTAACTGAAATTTCATGAGGGATTAAATAGAAAATTGCAAGTGCAATTTGATAAGAGATTAAACAGAAAGAAGAAAAAATATATTATTGTAATACAATCTAAACATCACATAAAATGTCTGTGATATAATCTTTTTACCTGCAATTTGAAAAAATAGAGCTATATAAATTTCTTAATGACAGGTTTTAAATCTCTTGGACAAACAGCAGCAGTGTCGGAGACTTCCAGTGCCTACCGGTCAGAACGGAGAAGGCCCACCTATCAATATTTTTTCATGGGCCGATTTCTTGAAAAGCAAAAAAGGCCTTCTTTGCACATTGATGCTTTTTTCAAAGGTTATTTCGCATTTCTTATTCTCAAGGGCACACAGACTGAGGTCCACTAACTTAGGCCCACTGATTGAGGCCCAGTGCCGGAACGAGGACCCACTGCCCAAACGAAGGCCTGAAAGAGGGCCCACTGTAAATAACCATTTCATATATTTTTAAAAACAATTTGTACAATACTTATTTTTATTTTTCTTAAAAATAAATATAAACTGTCACTGTCGCGACACTCATATATTATAACATCATATTTAAAAAGGCATTTGACATTACAATGTCGAATGGTTGTATACCACTCGACTTTATGTCTAACAAAAAATGTCGAATTCGCCATTCCAGAATACGTTTTTGCGTTCTTATTCGACATTTCATCAATGTCGCGTGTGACATTTAGAAATAGACATTCGAGAATAGGGCCCCTGGACCAACATTTTAATCGCGTTTAATATTTATTAAAAAATGAAAAATTAAAATAAACTGATTGAGGAAAAATTGACTTCATTACAGTAACTAGGCATTCAGCTTGTAGAGCAGTGTACTTAATAAATCAAATTAATTAATGTCGCTTATACAAACATTATTTGTAATATCATTACAGTATTGATTGGCTGGCTATGGGGATGGGAAATCTCGACACAACCTTTGCTTTAAGCTTCTACGATGGAATATTATTTAAAAATATACGGCACCGCTTTCAATGTAATATCTTTTATCATCCAAAATGGTTGGAAACACGTTTTTCTTGGAAAACGAGCATTTCTGCAGGGCATAAAGTTTCAAAGACAGATTTTACACTTTATAGCCTTTATATACAATTACCGACTAAAATTACTGACACAAGAAGAATAAACAATAAAGCCTTAGAAAAATTATAGTGTTTAAATTACAAGGAATGCGCTTTTCCTACTCGTATGATTTACAGCCTGCGGTTCATGCTAATAAGTGATGTAAAAATGTTTCTAAAGTAGACCACGACAGACAAAGATAAATGATACAAGTTATGTCCGTGATAACTACACACTGCTTTAAATTCAATTTAAACAAACACTTAAAGAGAAGAAACATTTTACACTCAGATATTTTTCCAAAGCCTACTTTAGAAATTTTTTGTGGATCACTTCGTACTCGTAGGAAATGAATACCATTACTTGCTCATTAAACAATATGCGATTCTTCAATATTTTAATGAAATTTTAGTCTATAATAAATAGTTGTCTTATAATTCAAAAATAAAAAAAAACAAAATATATTCAATTAATTTATTTTAAATTCAAAATCACAATTGCTTTACATAATTTGGAAACCTAATTTTTCAATAGTTATTTTGCCAGTCCTTAATTTTTTAAGCAGCTGGTAGTGGTGCTACGCAGTTACATTCACCTAAAGCACAGTATCCTGATTTGTGTCCTGTTGATTGGCATTCAGTCCTGCATTCCAAGTTAATACATGTTAAGGTAGGGTTATTTTCCTTGATTATATCCAAAACTTGGTCTGTAACAGAAAATTTATATTTTATGATATAAAAATTCAATCAAATGCGTCGCGAAATACAAACAATATTTTTTGTCCAACTAAACAAACAATAATGCCATTAAGTAAAAATGTGATGCATTTCGATTTATGACATGAGTAAATTTCATGTAAAAATTCAAATCGATCGGAAACGATTCAATTTTGACTTTCATAAGAATGGAAACAATTTTTATGCAGTCGTTTTAAAGTTTAAATATTTACTTTAGTATTGTTTTATCGGTGTTCGATAATTTAACAAGATGGACTATGAACTTGAAAGTGATAGTGACACTCATTATGTGGTGAAATATGTGGCAATCGTTGTAATTTCATATATGGAAAGATCCACAATAAATGTTTCTAAAGTAGGCATTGGATAAACTCACGCATGTCGAAAATATTATTTAACTTTTATCGGTAAATAAATAAATAAAAAGTTTTGATTACATTTAATAAATCTTCTAAACCTAGAAAGTGAGTCTAGGAAAAAAATCAATATTTCGAGATAATTACGTTTTCAGTGTACTCAAATTGAATGTTCGGGAATTAATCAAATGAATTAAATTAATTATTTTTCCACTTACCTCGTGTTAATGCTCCAGAATTTTCTGCATCTTGGCAGTTAGCAATAGCAACAAGGCCAATAATTAAAACAGCACAGCAGAACTTCATTTTGAGAATTAAATATGGAATTATTTCGATATTATTCGTTAGGATATTTAATTAATATACAAAAGTATAACCATCTGCTTCTTTATATATGTATTTCTTTAAATCTTTATTATCGTCATGAATTTTTTTTAGAATCTTCATTGCAAGTTGTTTCAATATTTACACAAATCATGACTCGTGGGGATATTTTAGAATAATGTTTAAGCTTTGCTTGCACAGGATTTAACTTTAATGATCTTGTTTGTACTGAATTAAATAAAAAAAATCGCAGGGGTCTATTAATGTTTTACATAAAAATTCGTATTTTTTGAATAAATTTAATGATTTCAATGTTTTTTTTTCAATTGTTTAGAACTAATTTTTAAGCAATTAAAAATTTCTACGTATTTATATTTCACTTACAAATTTTAAGACATATTATGATGCAATTCATATTATAATGCAAATGTTATGTAATTATAGTAGGTACTTGCAATCAAAAATATTAGAATCATAATCATAATCTTTGCCTAGTAAGTCTGCAATATAATTTCCTAGAATCAACTTATACAGGGGACATAGAATAACTGAAGAGGCTCCGATTCAAAATATGACGATTAAAACTATGCCTGGGTAAAATTTTATACGCTAAGTTGAAAATTTGTAATTGACTAGAAACGTTTTATTACTCTAGCTAATTTTACTAAATTTGGCAAATATTTTATTAAAAATCAGTTAATCAAGCCTTGTCAGATTAACGTACACGGTATGGGTATATTATTATTTTTATCCCTTCTAAATATTATGCCACTGTCCAAACACTAATTTCGACTATGATTTTAAATTTTTGGATTTTTTTTAAGTAAATCATGTATTCTTGTTAAAAATTGATAAAGTAATTGGTTTTAGAGACATTTGTACTTACACCGAGATACATTTTTATTAGGCGTTAACAGAATTATAATAACCACTAAAAATATTAACCGATTAAGATTAGACCACCTGTTAAGAATAGAAAAGAAGAAGAAAAATTACAGCCTGATATATTTTGTATACGCCCTATTAGTATGGACCAGAGGGGGGAAACTGGTATGCGCAGGCCTGGGATAGAGCAAAAATCAACCACGTCCGCGTGGCGCTGCAGTCGGGTGGTGGGGTAGGTGGTGGGAGTGTAAAGGACAGGTGAATATTAATTTTTGTGGGGTGTCATGGCGTCTTGGCTTAAACCAAACGTGAACTTTGTTTATTTATATTGGTGACTGTTGTATTCAGTTGTTTTCATTTCCAATTTTCTTAATTGATTTAGTTGACCACTGTTAATAAGCTTGTTTTTCCATTATAAATTTGTGCTTTTTGAGCTGTTATCTTGTGCTTTTTGAGCTGTTATCTTGTGCTTTTTTCGCTGTTATTTTGTGCTTTTTTATAAAGATGCGTAATTATAGAAAATGTTGTGTACCGAATTGCCTTGATGTGGACAACAAGATGCATCGTCTGCCCCACCCTACAAATTCACCCGATTTATTTGATATTTGTGCACTTGCTGTTCGTTGTCCAAGATTTAATAATAAAACAAGACTACAAATTTATTCCACCTTTGTAGTATGTCATAAACATTTTGAAGAGAAGTATAAAGTAGTTGGCTCTCGTCGAGGTCTAACACCTGAAGCATTTCCAACGCTATTCCTACCAGCAGTTCCTGGAACAGAAGCGGATGGACTTTCTTCAAATAACGTAGAAATTGAATATGTTGATCAAACACCTTCTACTTCAAGTAAAGGTTCGAAGAAGAAGCAGACTAATAATATATGTTGGACTTCTTTTCGAGAAGGAAAGTTAGTAATCTACTCATTTATTTTATACTTATACTGTGTATTTTCTGTTTCATGACATTTGGGGTTGCAAAGCTGTATCGTAGAAGAAGAAGCAGACTAATAATATATGTTGGACTTCTTTTCGAGAGGGAAAGTTAGTACTCTATTAATTTATTTTATACTTATTGCTGTGTTTGAGAATCCACATCAGATGCATTTTTTACATCTCAAGCGTTTTTTTATCCACATACCTATATATAAATCGTTTATTTAGTCAAAAAAACTATTTTTCACATGTCAATACATCTGCACGTTTAAAATATAAAAAATACATAAATATAGAATCAACATACATTTAAAATGCAATAAAAAATACATAAGATTACAGTACACTTACATGTCAACTATACAAAACATAATAAAAGAACAAGAAAGAGAAAAAAAACGTCAATAGGTCAACAAGTATTCACGCAGTTTTATTTTAAATATTGCCACGTTTGAAGAACATTTAATATCCTCAGGCAAATTATTAAAAGCCTGTACACCTTTAAAAAACACTGAATTTTGTGTACATTTTTTCGTGGCCTTATAAACTCTAAAAATTTTCTTATTACCTGCTTATGTTCATGAACATCCTGATTATGACTTAAAATATTTTGTAAATATACTCGGGAGATTCCTGATTTAATTTTAAATATAAAAAGCAGGGAATAGAATAGCAAATATTTTTTAACAGGCAACCACTGAAGCACATTCAACATGGAATTGATTGGTTCCAATCTCGAACAGCTCAGTATTATCCTCAGACCTCTATTCTGCAACTTTTGCAATCGTTGCAACTTTTGCAATCGTTGCAACTCATTCTGGTTGAGCAAATACAGTATAGTGGCACAATAATTAAAATGAGGTAATATTAAGAGTATTATAAATTATTATTTTAGCCCATTTGCCGAGATGTGGAGAACAGCGCCTCAAATAGTTTATTTTAAATCTGACACATCTGTCCCATTACATTTACGTAAACTGAATCACGTGATCAAAGATTTACTACATATCAGTTGCATCCGATGTGGATTCTCAAACGTGGCATATACTGTGTATTTTCTGTTTCATGACATTCAGGGTTGCAAAGCTGTATCGTAGATATTGGACTTATTAAAAAATAAAGTATTCCTCGGATTTATAATTTTTTATTAATACATTTATTTTAATGATTTTAATGAGATTGTACTTATACTGTCTTTATTTTTTCGCAGATAAAGTTCTTCACAAAATGATGGACAGTGTTGTATCCTGGAATATCTAGCTGCCATCCAGCTACTTCATACATAATACAATTGTCATATACATTACATTTTTTAAATATTGGATTTGTATTATATATATTCTTTAATAAATTTATTTTTTGAATATGTTTGTTTTTTTTTATCTAAAAACTGTTAGCCAAATTAAGATTTGTTCACACACACAACCTGCATTTTTGCTTTATTATAGCGATATTCGCTATAATAAAGCAAGAATGCAGTTTGTGTGAACAAATCTTAATTTGGCTAACAGTTTTTTAATGTGGATAATTTTTACTGTCAAATTTGAATAGCCCCGCGCTTTTCTTCTCTTCTTCTTTTTATTATTTTCTCTTCTTTCATATGGCCTCTTACCAGACAAGGACTTAATTGAAAAAAAATCAACCACATCCACCAGGTGCCGCTAAAAATTCTATCATCCTTTTTTAACATGGGAGATACCGTTCTAAGAGTAAGTGTTCTGTGGTATGGACTTCCGATTCGGACATCGTCGTGGCAACATTGCAATGGCTGTCTCCGAATCGGGAGCCCTGAAGTCCAACAAAAATCACTAAATATCTAGTGTAAAAGTGACCATCCGACCTTAAAAATAATACTAAATTAAATAAAATATTCTATGCCAAGCATACATAAGAATATTTAAACTAATTATCAAGTGCCAGAAGTTTGACGCACAGAAAGATGGTGTTTCTGTTATTTTAAAATTATTTTAAAAATGTTTTAATTTGTTTGTAATCGTCCCCATGTTTTATTAATTTATGACTGCACCCGAAGATGGAAAAGTTTTCCGAAACATATGTAGTGTGCTAAACAATTGAAAATAAAAAAAGACTAAATAAACCAAGGTAATTTTTATTAATAAATTTGAGATATACAATATCTGTTTCTCACACTTCTCTTAAACTTTAAGCTAGCAGGACCAACCGGGCAGAATCAATTAAAATCTATTACATTATTTAATACCTATTTTGTACTAATTTGTACCACCAATAAAAAATTTGTACCATGTGCCGTTTAAAAAAAAAAACGTGGCGCTGCTAGGTTAATATTAAGCTAGCAGGACCACATTAAAAAATAAAATAAAAAATAAAACAAAGGTAGAATTAAAAAGAACTGAATTTGTACCAATTTGTACTACCAATCAATTTTTTGTACTATGTACCGTTTACAAAAAAAAACACATGGTGCTTCTAGTTTAATATTAGGCTAGCAGGACCACATTAAAAAATACAAAGGTAGAATTAAAAAGGACTGATTTTGTACCAATATGTACCATTAGAAAAACCTAATTTATTTAATCAAACTGCCTGAAACAACTTTCAAATTAATCCAAATCTGTTATAATTATAAAAAAGTGACTTTTTGCAGAAAAATAATCTATTGCTATTTTTGCATAAAATACAACATAACCGTTCCTATACAGGGTGTTTCAAAAAGGTATGTCATAAATTCTTCCTCAGATAGATTACCAACAAATAAGTGGATTTGGCTATATTTACCTATATCAAAAACTGGTTCTCAACAAAGTTACAGGGCGTTAGACTAACATTCAGAAAAACGTTTTTTTTTTTTAAATTTGCTGTTGCGATTTTTTTCTTTGAAATTTTTGACAGTGCCCTAGACTTGAAGGCCCAATATTCTAAGGAGAAAAAAAATTAAAGGGACCCCTTTAAGAAAATTTGGGGGGTTGGGTACCTTTTAACCCCCCCCGTATTTTTTTGACATAAAGAAACTTGCTTTATCGATCTTAAAATCAAAAAGAACTATGAATTTTTTTTTTTTATTAGGAATTGAACTTTGTATCTTTTTTAGTAAACGAGCTATTTACAATTTTTTAACTGAATTTCTAGAGCAATTCGTCCGTCCTGGACTTATCAACAAAACTAAGAGTAGGTCAGGAGTTATTGTACAAAAACGCATATAAAAATCAGTGGTGTGTCTAGGACTGTTCTTGAGCCGCCCTTCAAAAATTACCTCTTTTATTTATATTTTTGTAAAAAAGTTATTTATAATATTGGATTGGCGCCATAAAAATGGTGTGCTCATGGGTTCACCATGCCACTCATAAAAATACACGTTAGTTTGGAAATGTATTTATTAAATTTAATAGTAATTAAAAAAATAATTTTTTTAATTAAACAATTAACAAAAACTTAACAATTAAAAATAAACACTTGATAATAATTATTATACATATTTTATAAACTATTTAATTTAATAAATGTTCAACATTTCCTCCTCCTTCTTAAATACAAAAATATAAATAAAAGAGGTAATTTTTGCAGGGGCGGCTCAAGAATAGTCCTTAAGCACACCACTGATTTTTATATGCATTTTTTGTACAATAATTCCTGGCCTACTCTTAGTTTTGTTGATATGTTAAGTCCAGGAAGGACAAATTGCTCTAGAAATTTAGTTATAAAATTGTAAATAGCTCGTTAACTAAGAAAGATACAAAGTTCAATTTGCTATAAAAAAAATTTAAAAATTCATAGTTCATCTTTTTGATTTTCAGATCAATAAAGCAAGTTTCTTTATGTCAAAAAAAATACGGGGAAGTTAAGAGGTACATAACTTTTTTTTAATTTTTTTTCTCTTTAGAATATTGGGCCTTCCAATCTACAGAACTGGTAAAAAAATTCAGAGAAGTAAGAACTGTAAAAGAGGAAGAACAGGGAATTGTTTCACATGATAAAAAGCCTTATTAAGAAGCAACCAAAGACTATAAGATGCTGGAATTGCGGTGAAATGGGAAATTTAAACAGTTCGAGCAGGTGCCCTAAGAACACTACGAATTGAAAAACCGTGCTGGTGGCTGTACAGGAAGAAACGGTGGTACCTGATAGATGTGAAACCAAAAGAGTAATGCGGTTGAAAAGAACTGTAGAAAAAGCAACGCCTGTCATGGTGAAACCTTCGAAGATGTTGGTCAAGGAACTCTGATTGGAAAGGAGTTGGCCACGTCTGCTAAAGAATTTACAATACGAAGAACAACGGTTGTCAACGATGAGTGGGCCCCTTGAGCACGTACTGGAGTCCAATATACAGAAACTAGACATGCCCAAGATAGAGAGTAACCGGGCTTAATTGGAGGATCATTAGAAACACAATGGAAAGTAGAAATAATCTTCAAACATTCCGAGGTCCAAATACTAGTCTGCAGCCATTCGCCCAGTGTCCAGGTTTCAGCAAAAACCGTGCCTTGTTATTTCCATACGAATGGAAATTGTAAAAGTGGGTCCAGTTGCCGATACAATCATTCAGTTTTAGTTCTAGGAGGAACTATTTCTTAAAGAAGGGGCAATGTGACGCGAAACCGTCTCTGTTCTTTGTTTATTCCTTGCCCGCGTTATTAAGTCTAGCACTGATATATGGCCACGCACCGCTTCGAAAAGCTACCGGATAGATTGCTATCTGGCGTCTCAGTCATAGAGAGGGAGTTCCCGAAGATTCTGGACCGACGAGAGTGTTCTGGTACAGAGCTGGCTTTATATAAATAGCGCGAGTTTTTCGACGCAAGTTAAGTTTCAAATTAAGTGTTGGATAGAAAAGATAAATTGTAATAAATAAATTAGAATTGTAAGTTATAATAGTGTCTAAGTAATATATAAATTAATTAGTACGTTTTAAATAAATTATAAATAAATTGTTTTAAATAAATAAACTATAAATAAATTAAACAAACGTTACAGTATTTTAAAAACATTTGAATAGGTCCTGAGACTACATTTATATTTGAATTGGTACTGGAAATTTTCTTCCTTACATATCTCTTCGCTTCGATACAATGTTGCCATTTAAATAACGTAAGTTATGTTTTAATTGATTTTTATTTAAAAAGAAAATCTGATTTTTTATTAAAATTTGTAATCTGGGATGTGATATAATTATATAAAAATCAGTAATTTTAGCAATTAATTTATTCATAAAAACTTTATTTTTACTCTAGCAACAATGATTTTCCTAAATTAATCATTTAGTTGGACTGAAAATGGTACTCATCCGTTCTTCATTGGAATTTAATTGTAAAACGAAATGGACCCATGGGTAGAAATTGGCGTTCATTATATAGGAACTCTTAGAGACTAAAAAACAGTCGCCATGCATGTCACGGACAAAATCAAGGAGAGAATGTTATCCATCAAATGAGAAAAGGTGTAAATTTCGAATCTTGAAGAAAACTCAAAAACGGATAAAGACAAAAACAATAAATTTTAAACTTAAGCTTTTTTCCGGCCTGTGGTAAATTGATTAGATTTTAGGCATAGTCGGTATATCTGGGAGGGGGTACTTTATGGGAGTTTGTTTTTTTATATTTTATGGAATATATCTGTTATTTTTATTTGAAGAAAAAAATTCATCCAATTAAAGTTAATTCTAATATTATTCTCTATAATTCTTATTGCTTTATATCAAATTTTTCTGAAATGGTCCGTATTCCAGAAATTTCACAAAATGTGGAAAATTCTGATTTTTAGGAAAATTGTTAAACTAAAAGTTGTTTGCTATAACTATCTCTATAATTTTTGTTTTTTTACATGATTTTTTCTAAAATGGACCGTAATGGAAAATTTGGAGGAATAGTGTAACTTTAATTTTTTTAGTATTTTCGTTTTCAATGAATATTTATAGAAAAATATTTCGAGTTAGATGTATGTGGAACATGTATATATTTAGTTTATCGTCTAAACGTTTACAGAGTTGCTGCAATAGGTTGTACAAAATAATCGGAAAAAGCCTGTAATAACTACAGTCTGTTCGCTATACTTACGCGGGTTTCGAATTAACAAAATTATGCAAATTAGTCATTGACAACCAGTTCCAATAAGCCTCTTTACAAGAAATTAGGTAAAATTGCCCTAATGGTCAGATTTAAATTAAAATAACATTAGGGAACTGGTTGTCAACAACTAATCTGCATAATTTTGTTAATCCGAAACCCGCGTAAGTATAGCGAACAGACTATAGATAGGAAAGTCATGTGTTGGACACATCAGATTTTTTATTTAATTATAATGGTACTGAACTACATTGTATTGTAGGTACATAATACGAATGTATAAGAACAAAAAATAAATATATTAAACGAACTCGGAAATATACAAATGTATATGTATATTTTCCTCAAATTTTCAATAATGAATATGGTCGAATGTCGACCACTGGGGTAGTATTCTCGAGTCACGAATATAGATTCGCATGCGAGATTTATGATTTGTCTCACTTGGTTTTCGTTCAACAAAGTGAGACACATTGTAAAACACGTATGCGAATGTCGGTATTCGTGATTCGAGAATACTACCCCTGGGCGAACACTAGTCATTTTTCATCCTCATTACCTGACTTTTTTTAATATCCAGTTTATAATAAGTACAACTTATCAGGTACTTTTTATCCGACCTTTTTTCAATTTTTCAAGCAGGTACTTTTAGCCCAACTTGTATGTCCCCAAAATTATAATTGAAAGATAAAAAAGTTTACACCCATAGAAAAATTATAGTCTTCAATTTCGATTCGTATGATTTAAAGTTTACAGCTCATGCTAATAAATAAATAATTATCCATAAAAAATGATTAGAGTCCTATCTATAAGTACTACACCCGGCTATAATTTAATTCTAAGCCGACACGTAAAAAGAATAAGAATTGTACGCACCGACATGCAAGTATCTTTTCAAGACATACTTCAGAAACATTTTTGTGGAGAACTCTTATTAAGAATGGGATACAACATAATTTTCAGTTGTTAAGATTCTCTAATTAAAAATAAGACGATTAAACGAAACATGCTTGAACAAAATATTGCTGGTTTCCGAAATACGATTAATGATTACATTTTTTTTATTCGGTAAACATTTTTGGTAGATACACCTATTAGCAAAACAATCAGTTAAATAAACTTCACCAGTGGCGTACAACAGGGATAAGTAACAACGTCATCCCCTCTAAATTTTACGCCACTGTCCAAAAACTTATTTGGACTATACTTTTAGATTTTTTGATGTATTTTAAATAAATTATGTACTTTTGTTGGGAACTCATAAAGTGATTGTTTTTCGAGATATTTACCCTCATAGGTGAATATTCTTCATTCTAATTTATTTTAAATTTTGTAATTTTGAATTTTTTCATACAATTATACTGATAAATCATTTTTGGTGTCATAATATACTCCAATCACCAAAAATGAGTTAAATTAACTTTGCCAGTGGCGTACGACATGAGTAAGTAACACATTAATTCCTTCTAAATTTAGTTTGACAATAATTTTGAATCACAAAATTAAAAAATAGATTAAAATTAACACAATCAACTTTTGAGAGTGATTATCTCGAAAAAAAAAAAAATCACAACAGAAGTATATGATTTATTGAAAAAACATCAAAAATGTAAAAGTTTAGTCCAAATAAGTTTTTGGACAGTGGCGTAAAATTTAAAGGGGATAAATGAATATAAAAATTATAGAAAACAATAATTTTTGAAGTTCCACCCTGTATTTCGGAAACCAGTAATATTTTATCAAAGCATGTTTTATTTAATCGCGTCTTATTTATGATCAGAAAACCTTCTGTGGTTATACTGTATATTATACTCGTAGGAAATGAGGATCATTCCCTGCTCGTTTAACAATATGCTATTTTTCATTATTTCAATAAAAGTTGCTTGAACAACACAGTGTACTTATTTTAGCCAGAAGCTAAAGGCTTCAAAGACTTCTTAAATTGATAAAAGTTGCCTTACTGTTCAAAAATAAATAAAAAAACAAAATAGTAATATTCAAAGAATTTATTTTAAATTTAGAATCACAATCGCTTTACATAAATTGGAAATCCTAATTTTTTATTATTTATTTGGTCAGTCCTTCATTTTCAGCTGTTAGTAGTCCAACGCAGTTACATGTACCTAAAGCACAGTATCCTGATCTGTGTCCTGATGAGTGACATGTAGTCCTGCATTCCCAGTTAATACATGATAAGGTAGGGTTACTTTCCTTGATTATATCCAAAATTTCATCTGTAACAGAAAATTTATATTTTATGATCTAATAATATTTTGTTTGTTAATTTGACCTTATTTTTGTATTAAGTGCGGGAAGCATTTTAATAACGGCGCATGTCAAAATTCAATCTAATACGTCGTAAAACAATATTTTGGTTTTTCGTTTTTTCGTTTTTTCGTTTTTTCGTTCTTTTTTTTTCGATTTCAGTAACAACTCAGATGATTTAATAGGATCTTATTTAAAAAGTCGAACCCAAATAGTAAAATTAAATAATAAGGTATCGAAAGCTTTGCCTGTCAAATATGGAGTACCTCAAGGTTTATTCCTCGGACCTTTACTATTTGCTTTATGTATTTTTGATTTTCAAAAACCCATAAAGAATTTTCAGATACACCATTACGCAAACAAATTAATTATTAATTTAGATTCCTTATTTAACATTTCATAATTTAAATTTAAATTCAGAAAAATCTGCTGTGAGAACATTTGGCCAGAAAAAACGTAGTCTTGCAACATTAGTAATGTGTTACTTTTTTATTGATCTTAAAAATAGGAAAAAATTAGCTTTCTCTGATATATTACTCGACCAATGTTGTGTTTAAAAAAATTCAAAATGGTGACGGAACGCTAAACGCTGACGTCACATAAATTTCATGTCCTCTAAAAAATGCAGAACACAATCCTATTCATCACCCTACAATTTCACAATTATAAATTTATTCTTTTCAAAGAAAATACCTTGTTGTCTGACTTCTTCGTTACGCTATGTTTCTACTTTTCTTTATTGTTTTTGTGATGATGAAAAAAGCCGATTTATTATCATTATGTTTTTTTGCCAAACTATACAAACAATAATGCCAATAAGTAAACATTTGTTACATTTCTTTCCATTGATTGCATCAGTAAATTTCACAATTCATGAAAAAATTCGTAACCATGGAAATCATTTTTATGTAGTTGTTTTGAAGTTTGAACTTAAACTAACAAATATTTACTTTATTTTTGAGTTTTACGGGTGTTCTATAGTTTAAGGAATCGCATATAGAGAAGAAACGGGGCTACAGCTAAAACCCTAGCCATTGGAGTTACGTCTTATTGATGGTGGAGCAATGTCAAAGTACCATAGAAATAAATGTAGTCTTCGTAGTACAGTTTTAATGAACAATTTATGTTTGTGTATATTAGTTACCTCTATGATGGAACTGAAAGTTAGATATTTCGATTCTTTCTTCTTCAAAGTGACGACCGTTACTTTCATTTTTTTATTGCTCACCTATTTTGTGGTGCTAGTGACACTCTGAGATAAAAAATGTGGCAAATGCTGCAATTTCGAATATGAAATGGTCCGCAAAAAACCTTAAGTAGATCTTGGAAAAATCCACGCATGTCAGAAAAATAATTTAATTTTTCTCGGTAAATAGAGGAACCAAAGAGTTTTGATTAGATTTAATAAATCTTCTAAACCTAGAGAAGCACCTTAGGCAAACTTTAAAAAAAAATCAATATTTTTTCACTTACCTTGTGTTAATGCTCCAGAATTTTCGGCATCTTGGCAGTTAGCAATAGCAACAAGGCCAAGAATCAAAACAGCAAAGCAGAACTTCATTTTGAGAATTAAGTATGGAATTATTTCTGTATTATTCGTAAGGATATGAATTAATTAATATGTAAAACTATAACCAGCTGCTTGCTATATATGCATTTCACTTAATCTTTATTATCATCAAAATTTCCTAGATTTTTACTGTAAGTCGTTTCAATATTTACACAAATCATGACTCGTAAGATTTTTTAAAATAATGTTTAAGCTTTGCTTGCACAGAATTTAACTTTAATGATTTTGTTTTTACTGAATTAAAATATTCGTAGGGGTCCATTATTTTTTTATGAATAAAAATTCGTAGTCGTGGAATACATTTAATGATTTTAAAGTTTTTTTTTTTTTAATGAGGGATATTATTTTAATAATCACCAGACGGCGTTCCTGTAACGTGAGGTCTATGTACTGACCTGTTAAAAAAAAGTTTATTTTAAAATGTTAATAATCTTATTAATAGCTATTTATGAAACCAGTTGTGAAACGAGTTACATAAAACGGCATTTCGTAATGTATTACATACAATATTTTTTCTAATTTTGACTAGATTATTTGTGTTTTAGTAAAAACAAACTGAAATTATTACTACTTTCTTGTATTGTTAGTTGCATATGAATAAGTTTCTTAATGTTATTATTTTATTGACAAATAGCAAATAATCTTGTTACACTGGTTTTTGGTAACTCAATTTATTTCAACTATTACAATTCTGTTGATAACATGAACGTGCGACGTCTATCATAAAACTCAAACTCTGACTTCTGGATCATCGACTTATATAGAGTACGATTCAACTAAGAAAAAGCCACACACATCATACCTGACAAAGGCCGCAATAATTTGCCTCTCTCTCAGGTCCATCCCATTTAAGCGTCAGTGGCGTTTTGGCAATTTTTTTCGTTTTTCTAATATAGAGATACAATTGCTTAATAATTTGGCAACGCTGTACGACTGCCGCATGGTCCAGAATATAATTCGAACAGAAGCTATCGCGTAAACATGGATCCCTTATTATTGTGAGCCAAACTTCGGCTTTGCCAAGCTTTTACTTACGAACAAAAATACGGGTTCATCGGAAGAAAGTGAAGACAGCGAGAGTACTATACTCTGTTTTTAAACTAGGAGGAGCGAATTGAAAAGACGCATTTACACAGGGAAAAGTAACTAGATTTGTTATTAAGAGCGAGTTTCGAAATAAAGTCGTGTTCAAAATTTATGAAATAATTATCTTTATCGGCCTTAGTCGGTGAACGGCCAATGAGCGGTTAAGAAACGAATAAATGTCATAGAAGTAATTTTTTAATTGGTCCCAGACAACGGTCGCAAATTTCACATTATTGTGATCTGAAATGTGTGTCTAAAACGAAATGTCACTGTCAAATTAAAGTCAATATGGTTGTTGATTGATGTCAGAAATACTTTTTTCTTGCTTTTGAAATCGACTTTTTAACTATGATCTTTTTAAAATGGATATTAAATATTTAAGAAAATTGTTAATGGAATATCCAGATGTAGCCAGGTTAGTATAAAATATAAAGATCTGTTTACATTTTTAAGGATATATTTGTTATAGGTATAAAAAGTAAAAGTTAATCTGTGAATGATAAGTGGATCACACAGTAACTGGTATCTCTTCTATGATTAATGTGGATATTATGGCTTATTTTAAAATTTTAATTTTTAAACAAAATTACTTTTTGAAATATCCTGGCCCGAAAATTATAACGGCTGCTGCATTCACCTTAATATACCAACATACAGGGTGTTTCAAAATTCATGGGACAAATTTCAGGAGGTGATTGCTCGTATGAAATTAAGATGGGTGTTTCCTATAACAAAATTTCCTCAGCTCACCCCTTTCTGAGATATCACCCTTAAGAGGTGGTGACTAAAATTGAGTTTCTATTTTTTTTTCTAAAATTTCAGTAAAGCTAGAAACTTGAAATTCTGTAATTTTCGTGTACTCGCAAAGGACTAACCACGGTTATTTTTTCAATATTCCTGTTACATTATAGGGGGGTGAAATTAGCAACCCTTACTTTATTTCATATCAAAACGGTTTTTCGAGATAAAGTTTTATGAAATAATTTTGTAACTTGAAATAATTGTTTTATTTAAAAAAAAATTCCCAAAACCAATACCTTCATAAAAAAAACTGTTTTCCACTCAATTTATAAAAAAAAAAAATGATAAATTGGGGTGTTAATTTTTTTTCTCTGAAGCTATTGGTTTTGGGAAAAAAATTCAAGAATAAAAAAAAATTAAATAAAACAAGGATTTCATAAAAGTTCATCTCGAAAATAAGTTTTGATATGAAATAAAGTAAGTGTTGTTAATTTCACCCCCCTATAATGTAACAGAAATATTGAAAAAATACCCGTGGTTAGTCCTTTGCGATTACAGAATTTCAAATTTTCTAGCTTTACTGAAATTTTAGAAAAAAATAAAAACTCAATTTTAGTCACCACCTTTTAAGGGTGATATCTCGGAAAGGGGTGGGCTGAGGAAATTTTTTTATAGGAAACACCCATCTTAATTTCATACGAGCAATCAGTTCCTGAATTTTGTCGCATGTATTTAGAAACACCCTGTATATTACACATTTTTTTAAGCGGGCATAATTCTTGACAATCTCTTTTCCCTAATTGGCACATGTATTTCTCTAGGATTTACTAACTCTGGCAGCAAACAAATAAAATAGAAATTTGTCAGCTGTGCATTTTTGCCTTCCAGAATTTTTCATTCCATAAATTAACTAAAAACTAAATTAAACAAAAACCTAACAACGCCTCAACAACAAACTAAGACGATCACAATAATTTCGCACCTCTTAAAAAACAACTACCTATTTTTCGACACAGGAAGTAACAAATTTAACTAAACAGTAGCTACCCTTTTAACCACGGGCTTCATAGACTAGCAGCGTTGCCATATTCACTGGTATCATTGTTTTAATAGAATTAGTATCGGAATGAAAACTATGTTAATCTTCGGTCCTGTTTAAAATTGGTAATCTTTTTGAAAAAAGTTATTTAGAAAATAGTTAAGATATTTGTTATAGAATGACGCTAAAGAGCCAAAAAATTAAATTTGTTAAAAAGTTGTAATTTTTGTTGTTTTTCTTTAAAAATATAAGTTTTTCCCGGTTTAGCGTCATTCTTGGTTCATTTTTACAACGATTTTACAACTACCCTTTCAAATTTAACGGTCAACATCTAAATTTTACAAATAAATTTACATATTTAGGAGTCACATTTACATCTTCTGGCTTGTTTCACGAAATGTCGTTATCAGCTTCAGATAAGGGTAAGCAAGCCATAGGAGCAATTTTGCCGGTTATGGCCAAAGCTAAAATGGACACATGGTATCCTCGGATAAAGTTGTTTGAATCCTTAGCTCTTAGCATAATGTCTAATTGTGCCCCTGTGTGGAGTCTAAGGTATTTGGAGGTGTTAGAATGGGTTCAAATAACTTTTCTGAAGAGGATGCTATTGGTGCCTATCAATACACCTGACTGCGCAATAAGATTGGAAACTGGCAGAGTTAAATATTCCTATAATATAAGTATTCAAAATGACTTTAAACTGGCTGCATAAAATCTTAAGTATGAATGATAATCGATATCCAAAGCTTTGTTTTAATAGCTTCATCTGATTAACTCTGGAGAAGTAAAATATAATTGGGCTGCTCAAGTTAGACACTTATTTAAATTAATTGACCATGAAGACATATGGAATAATCTTGATGCTAATAACCTAAAACTAAACAAAAACAAGTTACTAACTGCTTATTACAATGAACTTTACAATTTTGATATTATAGGAATTACACGCTGTCAGTTTTTGTCCTTATATACAGTTTTTTCGACTGATAAAATTCCCCAAAAATATTTACTTCTAAAACTGCCCATACAAGTTACACGAACACTTGCACAACTCCGATTAACTAATAAATTTCGGTTAAAATTTACACTTAATAATAATATATATGTAATAGATCCCAATAATGTTTGCACGGTATGTAAATGAATCTCTTACACATATCTTGTTCTATTGTCCAATATATAATGTTATGAAACCGAAAACAAATTGTTTAAACGATCTGGAGGCTTTAATCTATGCATTAGAAAATATAATCGAACCAGATGCATGGTGTATATTTTCTTATATATGCAATGTTTTAAAATTAAGATCATTTATTTTAAATGAATAAATTATAATTAAGTAAACTTTCAGTAATAGGGTTCACGGGTGCTGGTCGATATGTAACTGAATTTTTTTTATTTTTATTTTTATTTTTTTTATTTATATCGCATAAATTTCTTTATGGTCGCTCTACGATCAGCATTAGTGAGCATTAGCTACTACTAGACCTATTGTTACTTTTGTTTATTACAATTTTGTTTTGAATTTTTTTTTTGTATGTATTATAAAACCTTAACTCTTGCTGTAACTTAGGTTTATAAGCAATAAACGTATTCTTCTTCTTCTTCTTCTTATTATTATTATTATTATAACTATTGTGTCTTCATCTAAATGAGGTATGTCACAAGTGTATAAAATGTACAAAGTAGGACCCAGGACGCTTCTCTGTGGTACTCCTGCTTTGATTACTGTTAATTCAGAGCATGCTTCATCTTGTTTAATTCTGAAAAATCTATTTGAAATTTATGAATCCCGTTGCTCTGAGTATGGCTATGGAAGTAGCACGTTCAGTTTATATTTAAAATCATTAAGACATACTTTATTAAAAGATTGCACAACATCAAGTAAGATGGCTGAGCAGAGTTCTTTGTTTTCTAACGCTTTTTAAATTGAATTTGAGATTCTATGAACCTGATCTGTAGTTGAATAGTTTTCTCTAAAGCCGAACTGATAATCTGGGATTAGTTTTATTTTCGTCAATGATGGGTTTAAGGGCCTTTTCGTGAATATTTTTCCAATAGTTTCGATTTTATAGGCAGTAGTGAGATTCGTCTTTATGACGCAACTTCGTTTGGAGGTTTACAGGTTTGATGATCATAATGAAGATTATAATTACAGCTTATTTCTACAACCTAGATACATTCCTTAGTTTGAATAAGGCATCAAACAGGTGTGTAACTTTTATTATAGTTTTCTTCGGAAGTT